TTGATGGCTTTTTTATATGGTGGCAATACCTGGCAAAATCCAAACAAAATCTGAGATTCGTGTTGCCGAACAGGCCCTAACTCTACGACAACATGACCACATCGCGAAGTCCAGAAGCATCTCTCGTTGGTATCACTATCAAATGACAAAATTTATGGTGGTTGTTACACCATTACACAAACCACTGCCCGCGAAATATTCTGAGACATTTTCTTATCGCTGCAAAACTGATACCCAACTTTATCCGCTGCTCAATGGGCAACAATACTGGCTTGCCACCCACAATGATGCCATCTCAGCTGGATGATTCCAGCGATTTCATCACTATTGCAAATCTAACGGGATGTACAACAAAGAAATTGGATGGGAAGAGGTCAGAGAGGAAGAACCGAGAAGTGAACATGGCCAAGATGAAGAAGCTTTCTCCTCAAGCCTCTGTCAATCTGCCATCTCTCCAATATCCATCTGGGTCCAGGTTGATCCCAAACACTTCTGGTACCAAGGAAGCGGCATCAACCGCTAGGTATTGGTTGGATAGCAATGACCTTCGCCTGGAACATATGTTCTGCACAGAAATAGCATTGTTGGGAGAACACATCCGAGGCCTCTGCGACATCACTGAGGACCTCTGCACCAGAGTCCGAGACCTCGAGCGAACAAGGGGTGCATACGAGTTCCTCCATAGCTCTATGGAACTCCAGCATCAATTTCAGGCCTTGCAGCTACCCCTTTCACCACGCACCTCTTCTCCCTTTACTATGCCCTCATTGGAACAAGTTTGGTCTCCCTCACCTCCCCAAAACCGACCAAACAAATGTCGGAAAACCAATCGCCTCATCCCTGGGTCAGCAGTCCGCATCTCTACATCCAGCAGAGTCTTTCCCAGCAATCTTCAAGCCCTCCGTGCCTATCTCCTCACCTGGTGCACAAGGCTTGGCAGCACCTCACATCCTCTTAGGCAACCATACCATATTACACATCTTAGTCCTATGCACCATCATCTTCGACTAGTCTTCCATGGACCGTCACATGCTTCTGCCTTTGTTGATGCTTGGAACTCTCAACGTTCTGAGATCATTGATAACACAGTGTTATTTGTCCGCTTTGACTCTTCCTCGGAATGAGTGGAGAAGACCATGATTGCTTGTGTACCTTCACCTCACCACTGTGTCGCCGCTACCTGTAATACTAGTTAGTATCTATAAATTGAACATTTCGAGCGGTAAATTGAAGGTTGCCTTCAATCACGTCTTCACACTGAGTGTTGTATTTTGCTGGATGAAGTGCATGTTCTTCATGCACTGCAGACTTGCTCATACCCAGAGGGAATTTGGCATGCTATGGACACAGTCAATACATTTGAATGTCTTCAAGGTATGCTTTACACACCTATAATTGCTAACAAATTTGTATGTAGTATTCGTTGATTTATCACTGTATCGCCATATTCCTTTCCACAGATGTCTTGGTCCCATTGCATGCATTGGACTACAATCTGGGTTTTGCATTCATTCCCTTCTACCTGGTTACAGCCTCTGAATCTTGCTTGTTACTCAGTGCTTCCTGATCTCAAACCACGCAGATTTGAAAGTTAGTGCTGACACAAGGCTGGCATGTCTTTGGGACACAGATATCTCCCTTCCACCTCCTCTATATCCCCAGCAACATGCTACTCCTTTTTCCTCTGTTTGCTTAGTGGTTCTCTTCGAACCTTTATTGTCCTATTTAGCCTAGTGACAGGAAGTGGCAGATTGAGTAGTGGTTAGAAGAGGATCAGGGAGAATCTGTTATCAAAGCTCTCTGTTGGTTTGGTACTTTGCTTCTTGTGTTCACATAAAACCCTAGGGTGCTGGTGCGCCAGTTTCACCACCGGTTGCATGGGATTTGGTAACTTGTGCAAGTAGGGATAGCACGGGAAGCCGCCCAGGATCTCACAAGAGCCATTAAGGCCACAGTGCGGTTACACCTGTATGGAGACCTGGTTTTGCCCTAGTATCCTCCCTCTTCTTTATTAGGGCAGAATGTGCTCCATTGAGCAGTAGATAGGTAGTGTAACAGCTAGCCTTGTACTTATGTACCTGGCCTTGCTACCATCCCTCTGTCAGCCTTGTAGTCTACCTTCTCTGCAGGAGTCGAGCTCACTACCTGTGCTGGCGTAGGGACCAGCTGTTTCCCTTGCGGGACCACTTTTGGCTAAGGCTGAATGGGCCGTGTAATCCATAATCCATCCATAATCCATAGTTGCGCTTTGGTGTGATTTAGTTTAACTGCAGGAAAGCTGGGTTCGACTCCCTGTCAGGGAGCTTGTCAAGAAGTGATACTGAATCTTTTTTTTTTTTTTACTTCTTAGGCCACGTGATACGCATGCCTCCTATCTCAACATTCTCAGACTTTTGCCATTATAGCATCCAGCTCTAGATCTCATGCCATTGTGATCCAACTCACAGCAAGTTCCCCATCACTCACAGTTGTCTTTTGGCAGTGATTCAGGCGTGGATCCACTACAAGCCATCAAGGACAATTCTAATAGGGACCATCATCAACTAGATGGTGCTGTGAACAAGTTGCTCAAAGGATTGGTGGCAAGCAACCTGATCTACAAGGGACAGTCTCTCCAAATGATTTCCAAAAGTCTACTCTTGCATGGCATCTGTCAAACTGATTCGCAGTTGTGCAACCTCACCCCGGATGAAACCTTACAACTCACATTGGAACATTACGAGTCCTGAATGTAATGAAGGCTTGTCCTAATGGTGGGTTTTGCATGAGAATTCTTCCCAATTAGGCCTGATTTCGTCCAAATCTGGTTGACCCAAAAAGGATTTTGTTTCAATATATTTGGAATGTCAAAGCGCATCCCATGTGACTTACTGATTGCTCATCTACACTCTTTCTACTCCGTCACCATGCTCTTGCTTTTGCTTTTGCCCTCTGTACCTACTCATTAATATCAGTGTCGTTTTGGGCATTTGTAATGGCTACGGAATTGGCGCCGCTTTGGTTATTATCAATAGCGCTTATTATGTAATCTTTAGTTCCTTTCCTTCCTGCCACTTTGTGTGTACTCTCAATAGAATTGGGTTGTGTGCACTTGGTGGGATTTAAGGACTCTTTTTAGCTGCTATCAGCTAAGCTTTCAGCCTTACCTGCTCTTATCTTGCTATATCAGCTAGCCCTCTCTCAGCCCCTTTGCCTCACAGCCCAGGGGCCTTACAGCATTTCAATATTCCCGTTGCATCTCAGAAGGTAACTTTTCTGCGTACTGACATCTTCATACTTAAATTGCTTCACAGATGTAATAATCTCTTTCTCTTTTCCTCTTCTGTGTTGGTAAGTTGGTTGGTGAGTACTGCTCTCATTGGTGTCTTCATGCCTTGATCCTCTGACACTAAACACTGTTTCTGCTGCAGACTACATGCCTCTAATGCGATGAAATTGGAATAGAAAGATGGAACAAGTTTGTGAGTGATTCATTAACTCTATTCCTCAGCCTTCCACTAATTCCTGGCTTAGATGAGATCCTCAGGCATGATGCAAACTTGCAGTGTAATGCCATTCTTACTACTCGGTGTTTCTCAATCCTGCCATTACCTCTTCGGCTTTTCTCTTTCACCAATGGTGACTGCAGTCCATGTGTCCATTTGCACTCTGCTTTCCGCAACATATTTATTGGCATTCATTCGCAACCTCAACTGCTACCATTTTCACCCTTGCTTCAAATAGCTTGCTCGCAGAATGCCATCTTTCAGTTCTTGTGAGAGTTGTTTGATTATCGTTCTCATTCCTCACACTGAATTTTTTTCCTTCATAGTGCCTGTAGAGATTTTTTAATTTTTGATTTTCTTCACTTCTTAGACATTCAGATACGAGTTACATCTCTTTTAAGAAGAGAATACTCGTTCTCATATAAGCAATCATTGTCAACACAATTCCAGAGACTCCCCCACCTTTACCACCTCAAGACTGTCTAATGCTATTGCTTCCCTTGAAATCTCCAACTCAGCGCCAAGCAGGCTTACAGCCACATGGAGGTCATATTCCAGATCTGTCCTACTTGATTTTGGAGGGTTAGGATTTGGCAAGCCAGTCACAATTCACACACTCACCAGATAATGGGCGAGTGACACAAGGCATGTGCATCGTGAACTGACTCTCAACGGATATGGGTACTTGGAGGTGAGGACAATTTAGGTCTGATACTTGAGGGGCTAAATTCAACTCGGGAAGATTTGATAGAAGAACATTGGGATTGGCCTTACTTGACAGCACCATAGCTAGTCTTTTGAGAAGAGAATACTTGTTCTCATATAAATACTATAGCACCTAAGTACAGGACTCATACCTGCCACACGCTCGGTGCGATGGCCCACACTTGCAAGTCCTTCACCAGGTGACATGTTGGATGAAGTCTGGCTAGCTGGTCAAGGATACAAAAAGATATGATGCCTGAGTGAGTCCTAGGATCCAAATGTTTGACTGAGTCATCGTGAAGCTCATGGAGTTGCAGAGCTCCTTAATCTGAAAGAAAACTGTTCTTCTCGGGAACAGCCTCACAGTGGGCCTCTGTCACATGAGGCCATGTATGAGGCAAGCATTAAGAGCTCGTGGCCATAATGTTCTTGCATTTTCAATGGTTGATAGCTATGGACTCCTAATCACATACATTTGTAGGGAATGCTCACAATACTTTTGAAAGAACACATTCTCCACTACATGAAGATGCTAAATAATATGCCTCTTATTAGCCGCCACCATTGTTTGGTTGACTGTGAACAGGACAGTCGAGAATGCTAGACCAGGTATAACTTTGGAATGTAGGAGACTTGGAATGTAGGAGACCTCTAAGAGACAGGTGTGGTGATACCGCATACCGCACTGACTTGTGTTTCAAAGCTTCAAGTCAGGCGCAGGCTTCCCCGCCAGTACAAGTTTACAACTTGAGCTAGCTGCTAGTGTGTGCTGGTGTGTCCTTCAACAGAGATATGACACCACAAAATATATCCCTGGTAGTATATCGGCTAGTACACGCGCCTGTCATTATGACTTTACTGGAAATTAAAATCGCGCGAAAGCTGGGTTCGACTCCCAGCCAGGGAGCTGTGCTAGGAACAAACTAGTGAACATTGATCTTTTCTTTTCTTAGATATATTAGGTCACGTGATACGTACACTTCCTGCTGGTACTTTTCTCGGTTACTATTAGAAATTTATGCTGTGAGCTCTTCCTTTGTTCCATTTGACTTATTTAACTAAAGGTTCACTTTTACTAGATGAGCTTATGAATAAACCCGTTCTCACTCGCAGTATATTGGCAAATTTGTTCAGTCAACACCGGAACATGACCACCAACGCTCTTTCTACATCTGAACGTAAACTCTTGGTCTTGGACCTCAACGGCTCCCTTTTATTTCGCCCATCGAGATACAAGAAATCAAACAATGGAGGGACCAATGTCCGAACTGTGCTTTCACGACCATACGTGACTCCATTTCGTGAATACCTCTTCCACCCCGAAACAAGCCGCTGGCTTGATACCATGGTCTGGAGCTCCGCACAACCACACAGTGTCGATCATATGGTAAAACGAGTATTTGGGGACTATACAAAGAATCTGAAAGCTACTTGGGCGAGAGATACGCTTGATTTGACTCCGGACAAGTATAGTGAGTAGCTTCAACTTTTTATCAGAAGCTACATGAACACGTTTTTTACAGAAAAGAAATCCAAGACAGTCAAGGATCTCACTAAGATTTGGAATGCTTTCCCTACATTCTCAGCTCAGAACACGCTCCTCATCGATGATTCTACGGACAAGGCAAATCTTCAGCCATGGAACCACTTGTTCATCAAAGAATATGGAGAGGAAGAGCGTAGACATGACATGCGTGTTGTGCCAGCTCTAAGGAAAAATCCAGCGATAAAGGAACCAGAGTTCGACATTTCCAAGTTGGCTGAGAGACTGCGGTCGAACCTTCGTGTTAACGATGCGGAAAAGCAGAAGCAACCTGACCGATACGATGATACTCTGCTCGCTGTCATCGGTATTCTTGATGCTCTAGAGCACGAGAAAGACGTCGCTGCATGGCTTCAGAGTGGCGGAATTATTCTTTGTGGTAAAGAAAGTGAACCATCGTTTCCGGGCGGAGTTATTGGTGATCGGTGGTTCGACCAGAATGTTGTTCTGGATTGTTGGGTAGAGCGAGGACGGGCAACGTTGGGTAGACTAAAGATCAACGAAGTTGTCGGTGTTGTTAAAGAAGTAATATAGGAAAAAGACGACGTCATTGTATGACGACGAGTTGCTACACTTTTTCTTTTATAAAGGCGAGTATCGAGAAAACTATTCTTCCTTGTTGACCCCCACCTTTTCGAACTCGACTCATCGAGCGCGATATCAAAGAATGTCCGCAGACGCAAACGCCAAGTACTCTGGCAAGGACCACAACTACACAATGGTTCTTTGATTCCATACGTCTTTTTGCAATTCGTCCTCATACTTTGTCTTTCGATACTGCCCAGTTCCAAGCATTCGAGTGGTACTCTGAAGGAAAAGGTGTCCATTGGAAGAAACTGACGCGTCTTGCACCCAAATTGGCTGATATCGGTATAACTGCGATGTGGATTCCGCGTGCGTTCCAGTTTTTCAACAAAAGAACGCGTTAACCAATACTGAAACCCTGACTTAGCCCCAACGAAAGCTGCAGGACAAGAATCCGTCGGATACGACGTGTACGACTTGTATGACCTGGGTGAATTCGACCAGAAAGGTGGACGAAGGACCAAGTATGGAACAAAGGAAGAACTGGTCGAAGTTGTCAAGAAGGCAAAGGAACATGGAATTGTCACATATATAGACGCGGTTTTGAATCATCGCTTTGGAGCAGATCGGATTGAAACTTTTGGTGCTATCGAAGTCGACGACAACGATAGAACGAAGGAGATTTCGGAACTGTATGACATCAAGGTACGCGTACATTCGTATTTGGCTCACCGTGGCTTATTCGACCTTTGTATTCTTTAGGGGTGGACAGGTTTCGACTTTCCTGGTCGTGGTGACAAGGTATCGTCGTTTGGATAATCGTTCGGAGCGATACTGATTCTCTACGCTCGCATATAGTACAGCGCCTTCAAAATGAACTTCAACCATTTTACCGGTGTGGACTACAACGACGAGAACCAGAAGAAATCTATATACCGGATCCATGGGGATGGAAAAAGTTGGGCCGAAGGCGTCGATAATGAGAACCAAAATTATGATTACCTGAGTGCGTCTCTCAGATCTGTAAACCGATCTTTTGGCTAACCGAATCTTGAAAAGTGGGTGCCGATATAGATCACAAACACCCAGACGCACGCGAAGATATCATCAAATGGGGGAAATGGGCTCTCAAAGAGCTGGGTGCAGCGGGTTTCCGCTTTGATGCTGTGAAGGTATGGTTTCGCTTCCGCTTCTCCTCCTACGTTCCACGCTACATCTCACGTTTTCATCTACAACAGCACATCGACCGGGACTTTATCGCCGATTTCGTGAAAGCCATCCGCGCCGACGATACCGTGGACAAACCCAGCATGTTCGCAGTGGGGGAATTTTGGAAAGATTCGTCCGAGGATCTGGGGGAGTACCTCGCGGCATTGGATACCCAGGTGTGAACATTCACACCATCACGCCACATGCGTGCTATTTTGGAGCACGTATATGCATCTTCTTGATCAACTGGTACTCAAACAATTCTTTTGTTCGTTCCGGATACCCCTTTAGTTCAGCCTCTTCGATACACCTTTGCACTATAATTTCAAGGAAGCGGGCGATCGTGGCGCGGAATATGATATGAGAAAGATTTGGGATGGGACGGTGCTGCAGAAGAGACCTATAGATGCCGTTACTTTGGTGGACAATCACGAGTATGTTTTGTCCTCCATCGTATCTTCCGAGTAACAGTTTGCTGAATATGAGCTGATTTCTAGCACGGTCGGTACACGGATCTTGTTCGCCTTGAACCGATATTTACTAGTTTTTGTTCGTAAACAGCAAGTCGGGCAAGCCCTTGAGAGCTGGGTCTCACCGACGTTCAAACCGCTCGCGTATGCGTTGATTTTGCTCAGGCCAGATGGATATCCGTTTGTCGCATCTCACCCATAACCCATATGGGGATACTTACATCTGACAACAGTTGCGTATTCTGGGGCGACCTCTACGGTACCGCTGGCCCCAAGGGTAATCCCCAGCAACCCGTTTCTCAGCTTGAAGACCTTATTCGCGCTAGGAAGCTTTACGCGTATGGAGAAACGAGAGACTACTTTGATCATATGAATTGCGTTGGGTGAGTTGGTAGTTTTTCTTGAATCCTTTCTTGAATCATATCCTCTTGTGAGCTTTCCTTTCGATGTCTGATGATTTTCATTGCAGCTGGGTGCGTACAGGAGACAAGAAACGAGATGGTTGTGCTGTGGTTCTATGTAATGGTGGCGAAGGGTGTGTATTGATCATTGAGTCGACTTGAACGGATGAGGAGCGCTGATGACTTTCCATATCCATATCCATATCTATATCTATATAATAGCTTTAAGCGAATGGAAGTCGGAAAGGTGCGTTTTATTGCTCTGATGGCCGAATTGGTTCCCGACCTTTTTCTATGTACTGTTTTAGGAGCACGCCAACGAAACGTGGACCGATTTGCTCGGATGGTGCGAGGGAGAGGTTACCGTCGGCGAGGATGGCTGGGCCGAGTTCAAGTGTTCTGCGATGAGCGTTAGTGTGTGGGTGAAGAAGGTTGCTGCTGGTAGAGAGGATTTTGGGAAAGCCTCGTAGGAGTGTAGTAGGTTGTAGACTGTTGTAGGCGTCCACGCGGGATCTAATCAAATTCGGGTTTTGATCCAATAATACCAATTATACCAAGATTCTGTTCCAATTATATGGAGGTTTTTTGAGGTCTTTTGAAGCTTGAATACTAAAGTTTGTACTTGCAATTGTAAATAATCTATTGTAATTCGGATTCAAAACACTATTCAAGAGCAAGAGGGCTTTTAAAAATTTGCCCGAGCAAATGTACAATGTACCAGCACGGAACAACTGATGGTGGCAGGTGAAGCCGAATAGTTATGCGGCAGCAGCACCTACAGATGAGTCTAGACTCAAGGCTGCACAGCCATTGTTCGCAAATCTAATAGCAGACGCTTTGACCAGGCTCCAAACTTTTTGATTCATCGAGTTTCTTCGATCAGTCGATAATCTTATGTAAGCCTGAACTTATGGAGGAGGATTAGCGATTGGGTGAAATTAGATGAGGCTGGAGAGGGCTGGAGCAAGGCTATCGACAGTTCTGGGCTGTTCCTTACACTTCTTCCAGGGACTGTGAAAATCCCCTCTGATATCTATTGTGAGAGTAGACTCGTCATGGGCCATGGGGTGTTATCGACTGTTGTCGATGGTCACACTGGCAGATAGTCATTGACACTCGGATCACATCGAGATGGACAGACCACACGAGGGATAATAATAGGAGACAATTAGAACTGTCCAAATTAAATAATATCTTACCCTGAAGTTTGTCAAAGATCAAGGATTAACGCGAACGGTTAGGAGCTGACATTGGGGTTGAAGGGTATTTTGCAGTTGTGCGTGTTGAAATGCCAGCGAGAATTTGCGCGAATTGATAGTATGAGAGACCTCGGAAGAAGCAGCGAATTTATTTAGTGCGGATGTTCGAGAGTATAGCAAAGTACAAAGGAACGTGTTCGATAGTGTCTTAGCTTGTCTTAGTCTAATCAAAGGCTGTTTGGATTGATATATTAGTGCTTTGCGGAGCTTGAAAGGACAAATATTAATGAAGGACTGCTTCAAGGAGGATGATGGGCAAGCAAGCTGTCGGTCTATCTTCAAGCTGCAGTGCGGCAGCTCGAAGTACCGTCCACACAGCCAAAGTCTCTGCCCAGTGCCAGTGTAGGCGTCGGTGGCAGAAACTACCGTATTTTGTGGCATTCTTGGTTGATTCAACTGATGTTGTTCTTCAATCAACCCTGCATTAGCAGATTTGCACTCGGGAAATAAAACTTTAGGTGCGTCGCCATCAAAGTTATTTTCCCACACTATGACGCACA